CTTGTACCTTGCTCCATTCAAGAAACGTATGAACTCATGTGCTACACATTTAATAGTGCTGTTTGTTGCTGGCGGCCACTTGAGGCGCCGCAATGGCAAGATGTGAACTGCTTTGCCTGGTATACAGGCGGTCGTGGGTTTGATCCCGTCCCTGACGGCGCCAGTTTTTTTAGAGTTTGTGCGTCTCGCTCTTATTTCCCCGTGGTCGTGCTGATCTTTTTATCCTGGGTCCTCTGGTTTTTCTCTCTCCATTTAGAATCATCACGTGTTTAGAGTATTCAACTGCGATAAATTTCCACACCTTTAAGCCACTTTGTTGAGCTATCAATTTGTGGCAAGGTCGCTTTTGAAAAATATCTATTTAGTTCAGTGGGCCTCACCTGGTAAAATAAAACTAGTTACGTTTTAATGAATAAAACAACTTTTCTTAATAGGGCCTCAATGGCCTGTGCTCTGCAAACCGTGAAAACAAAAATCTCCCCCACTGCCTCTTTAAGGAGGGCGATCATTCTCACGCTGTTCTACACGCATAGCTGCGACCGCTCGCAATGCACCCCGGGTTCCTTTAGAAACAGACGTGCAGCGTTTGGAACGCTACGCAACGGCACGCCGTGCAGCTCTAGCTCACGGGAACTGTGTGGTCCTTTTTTCAAAATGAACAAACAAAAAACTTCGTGACATTCACTTTGCATTGATTACCTGTGACCGCACGAATGCATCGTTTTTAATAACAACAACGCCGCCGCGTGAGAATAACACGCGCGCTCGCCGTCACTCGTGGGCCCTTGCGATGCCACAAGGTTTTATTTTATTTTATTCTCGAACGCCTGCCGTGAGGGAATATTTGTGACCTGGGATGGCGCTAATTTATTCTTCCCCGGCCCTACTGGACATCTGTGAAAAAGAGCTTTATAGCTCATCAGATTCCTCCGTATGAATAAATATTCTGATTCTGAAAAACATTCTGAATTCCCGTATGAAGCCACTGTGAATAAAAAAAGGGCTTCCCCTCCAGTCGAGGTGTGTTGTTGGATTCCGGTCATGGTCGGTGACTATCGATTTGTGCAGCGGTCCCTTTAGTGTTGAGGAAGTGAGGGGTTGCAGGCAGGGCCGTGCCGGATTATCCTAGTAGCAAAAGTAGCTACATATGCTACGGGCCGCGCACTTTCAAGGGCCCCACGCTAAGTGCTTTCAAGCTATCAATTCCGGTACAGTGATTCTGCACTTGCTCTATTACGATAGTACCTCTTTCAACTTATGAACGACCAGGTGTTTAAGGTTAGCGATTTGTATTATCTGGCTGTATAGCAAATGAAAAAAATACAATTGACTTTACGGCCCCTTTATAACATATGCTACAGGCCCCACACTGGGGGAGGGGCCCTGTGGTGGGGGGTGAACTTCAGTGGGTGGGCTTTCATTTACCCACTTTTCTAATACACTGGTGGTGAGAACCAGAGCGGAATGCACGATGGGCGAAATCAGATGGTATCGATGCTCGTTCTGATTAGTGTTGAACATTGCTAAAAGTTTTAGAATTTACTGTTGTGCTCCCCCCCCCCCCCGCTTCTGGGTTCTTGTATGCCCCCTACATTAAACAGCAAGGTCACCCTTCAGAGTTATACGGTACTTACTAAAAAGGCCTGATGAATATTAAATCATGAAGGACGTTAATCCTGGATGTTACCTGCAGCCTACAACCAAAATGGTCTGGAATGCACCAAATCTCACCAGATCTTAGAGGCTAAGCAGGATTGAGTATGAATGATGCCATTTGATGGGCGACCATTGTGCATGAAAGGTGTAATAGGTGACGGTGGCTTGGTGTGACGTTCATGCAGCAGTGGATAGATCGTGGCTGATCATGATGATCGTGATGATGTAAGCGTGTGGAATAGAAGCTCAGCCAGTGAGCTTCTTAGTGGTTGCTTGTGTTAGACAGGTGATTGAAAAGCTACAGGGGGATGCCCCATGTATTCTTATGTCTTGAGATGTCCACTGAGCAGCAGTAACTCAAGAGACCAGGATAGTCTTCATTTTCAAGAGTGACCTGGGGCCTAAGACTGCCAGTAGGGGGCGATGATTGCTCTCTATAATCCCAATTGAGTAATTTGCGCAGCAGACAGCGTGTAATGTTATTATGGTTATTACACTGGCAGTAATAAACTACGATAAACACAACGAATTTTTTTCCCAGATAAGGCCCACTGAGCTATATAGTTATTTTTCAGAAGCCACTTGGCCACAAATGATAGCTCAACGAAAGTGGCTTATCATGTGTAAATTTATAGCAGCCAAATACTCTAAACGCATGTTGATTCTCAATGTGGAGGGTAAAACCGGAGGACCTGGAGAAAAATCCACGTAACCACGGGGAGAACACGCAAACTCCAAATATACAGGCATCAAAGTCGGAATAGAACCCACGACCTCCTGTATACCAGGCAAGGGAGTTAACATCTCGCCACCGTGGTGCCCCTAACCAGGGCGGCCGCTTCACTCGAATCCTGGACCTCTTTCCCAAGCAGCAAATACGCTGCCGCTGGGCCAGGTCACCACCCAGTAGCGTTTCGGTGCTGCTAATGTGACACGAGATTCTAAGGGACGGAACACCGGCTGTACCTACACAATAAGACTTTATGGCTGGGTGGCTCACAGCTCGGAGCACTGAGCCGGCAACCACTCAGACCCCAAGTTCGAATGCAGGTGGCCATCTGTGATTGAAAACGTATTATCGAGGGTAGTCTGTTGATGGTCTCAGCCCTGTCATCAATGACCACGCAAAAGAAAGACGTGTTGAATTTAGTTCTTAATTTAGCCAAATTCCAAGTGCGAGATTTAAAGTTATCGGTTTAACCGACACGAGGTGAAGATTATTCTCGGTGGCAGGGCGGGTGGGGAAGTGGTGTGTGCTACTGTGTGGACCAGAGATAACCTGAAGGGACCACAACACGTAGTTCTGCCCTATCCACTTCTACAGCCCATTCTCTAACATGGGGGGCTGCACTTCTGTGAGATCCGTTTGGATTATTTTGTCTCGTGATACTTATCACACAAGCAAGGATAGAAATACATTTTTTAAGGTTTTTGTTTTAACTTTTATAAACACTGCACTTGACGGGCGTACATTGTTGGGCGTGTGGTCAGGAAGGAAGACACGGCTGGCTGTGAGGTCACGTGGTGCGGGCATGACTTAGGGAGGCACGGGTTTGAGCTTGAGAGAGAGGGAAGGAGAAGTAGCAAACACTGCGGGGGAAGGAAAAAAAACACAGGACGCCCACGTACGTATACGGTGGGGAGAGACCAAGTGTGAGATTGAGACGCAGGTGCGAGGGTTGTGGAAACGCAAGCGTGTGATTGAGACTCGCGGGTGTGAGATTGATGGACAAAGGTGCTGGGAGGCGGGCAAGTGAAAGCGTCCCCTTCTTGGCAACTTTTGAGCCCATCCTCGTCGACACCCACATAGCACGTATCGGCGGCACCAGAATTTTTTTTAAAGATTAAATAAAATAAACTCATCCCTCGAGTCCCATCGCGGCCCTTAGTCTCAGCGCTAAGAGCTGTGCACTCACTTTGCGGGATCGCTCACTGCCGTGTAAAGTGCACCGGCCTGGCCATAAGTGGCACGTTTGGCCCACCACCGCCCCCGCACTCCGGGTCCAAAAGCTGCGACCTTTGACCCCGTCCCCCCATTCCCCCGTTGCCTCCGCTCCTCAGACGTAAAACCTTTTATCGCGCAGCTTTCACCACACCCACCCCACCCCGTGTTGCTTTTTATCGCTCCGGGGGTGCGGGCGGCGGGGCCATCCATCAATCGGCGAATTCGGATTTAGGAGCGGCGCTCGCCAAACGGCGGAAACCTTTCTTGACCCGACGGTGTCCACGCTTTGAACCCGTTGCCGTTTTCTGTGTCGCTTGCATCGGCGTCGTCGCAATCGTCACAACAACGGCGGCGTTTCTGATTTACTGCAGCAGTGCAACGCTCGTAGGGCCCTGTTTGTCAGCCCTCTTGTCAATTCGTGCCTCTACCCCCCCCCCCCCACTTTCCATCGCCGTGCGGCTCGTGGCGTTTTTTTACCGTACTTGGCCACGCTGGTTGGTACGCGTTGGTGAAGGTTGGAGGAGCCATAGAGCAGCGGTACTTAACCTTTTTTTGGTTACTGTATCCCTTGTTAAATTTTGTTTCCACAGAGTTACCCCACCCAGCACGGTTCTGAGTAAAAGATGTACGAATAATAAACATCAATATTTTAATCAATTGTCCATTTTGTGAGGTATCCTAGCTAGTAACATCAAGCAAATAAAAAAATGAGCGAACGCTCTGTATGCATGACGTACTTTGTTCGCGCTTGCTGATTACTCTTGGAATCTCATTGTTTATGATCAATGAGTTCAGAACGGTCTTTTATATCGTTCTAGGCTACCATATGGATTTACGTTTTATCGTAGTTATTTTATATTGACAGATTCACACATGATTATTCACCAATGACTCATGTATGATGTAATTTTGCACATGTATAAATCACCTCACGTACCCCCCGGGGACATTGCCACGTGTACCCCCAGCGGTCCACGTACCCCCTGTTGAGAACCACTGGCATGGAGGAGGTAGGCGCATAGTACAGCACAACAGTGGATTTTACTCCGGTTCCTCTGCTGCTGCCCACCCAGCAGCCACACATGACAAACCTGCTGTGCACACACGGCGGTCGCAGATCCAAACGCTATCCAGGCTCGGCCCTGCTTGGCTTCTGAGACCTGACGAGATCCGGCACTATAGTCACCGGGACCCGTGCTTAATGATGCCTTCGTAATTGCACCTTCTCACAGCCGCCCATTTCATTCTCTCCGCGTCACAGTTTAATTGGTTTTTACGTCCTCCCCTGTGTTCAAGTTGTGTTTTTTTTGGTATTTACACGCGTGCATCTGCTCGTTCGCGATTGTGTCCTCGTGCGTGTGTCACTGTGCGTGTGTGCGTGTGTGCGTGCGTGCTTCAGCGTGACCGGAGGGGAATTGTTCGAAGACATCGTGGCGCGGGAATACTACAGCGAGGCCGACGCCAGGTAACGCCATGCCGGTAGCCCCAGCGCGACGCTCCTTGACGACCGCCGCCACGCTTGCTCCGCCCTGGCTCGCTCGTCATGGCCCCAGCTGAGCAGCTCCCCCGTGTGCGTGTGTGCGTGTGTTTTCACGTGTTTGCGTCGATGGATTGTGTGCGATCCGCGTAATTAAAAGGGTTCCCCCCCTCCCCGCATGGCTGCGTTGCCTCTGCGGCGGTGGCAGAGTTTGAAGCCGCGGCACTGCCGCCTGCAGTCACGCCACATTGATGCTTAACCTCTGACATTGGACCTCTGCTCACTGCTGGACCCGTCTCTGCTCCCGTGTGCCGCCCCCTGTTCCCGTTCATGCCACACCGCCACCACCGCCACCGCCACCTGTACCACCAATACCACCACCACCACCACTGTTTCTACCGCTAACACCATCGGAACTACCAATGGCACCACTACTACTACCACTGGGACTACCAACACCACCACCACCATTGGTACTATCAACACCACCACCAACATCACTACTGGTACTACCAACACCATCACTGATACCAACACCACCACCACCGCGGGAGCTCCTGCTACCTCCACCAGCCACTGCATCCAGCAGATCCTGGAGGCTGTTCTGCACTGCCATCAGCTGGGCATCGTGCACAGGGACTTGAAGGTGAACTTTGGCATTGCCATCTTTGCCGCCGTCGGGTTCATGATAAATTCCCAGGACAATTGTATTTCATTATTATTATTATTATCGCGAGTAAATGGGGGCAGAGTGGTTGTGCAGGGGTTAGGAGTGCACGACGAGTGAAACTGGCGACCTGAATTCTATCCCCGACCACGGCTAACGTCAGTGGAGAGCGATGTCTCAAACGATCCGGGGATCCAACTCATGCTGACTCAACGTGTTTGAAGTACGGTTAAACAATCCCCCCATGACCGACAAGGAATCGGGGGGGTGGGGGGGTGTGGACCTTCATCCAGCAATGGATTGAAAGGGGAAAAGGGGCAGTAACTATGAATATCAACGAAACTGATAAAATACAACATAGCAATCTGAGTAAACTGATAGAGCTATTACAGGATTTTATTATTATTTAAATATAACTCACGAGATGTAAGTAAATGCACTTGGTGTACTAAAGCTCGTGCACGGACAACGCTCTCTGGGCTTGTTATACCGCGCTAACGAGGCGACCTCCTCTGCCGTCTCCGTGCGCTCGCTAACGCCAACCCGACCCGCCGGCGATTGCCGCGACGATGCCGACCGACGGCGCCATCATCAGCCCGAGAACCTGCTGCTGGCGAGCAAGACTAAAGGGGCGGCGGTGAAGCTGGCTGACTTTGGCCTGGCCATCGAGGTGCAGGGCGAGCAGCAGGCCTGGTTCGGTAAGTGCTTGCGCTGGCAAGAATCCCCCACACAGCTGCCTGCCTCGGGGATTGTGTCGGTTTGGTAATGTAGGCTTTCGCTGTGTGCTGCGTTTTCTCAGATCAACATAATGTAGGCATCTATGTTGAACTTCTTTCGCACCGTGCGTTACCAACCAAGATAATTGGAGGTGCGTGGTGGGAAAATAAAAGCATTCCACTGTATGCTGAGTAACTGTAATGTAGTCAGTAATAGGTGTACTGCATATGCTCAGATTAACATAATCCTTTGCAATTTATATGCCTGCATTAAGCCCCCTCTGGTCTTCACAGTGATGAGATAACCCATATTCTGTTAGGACCGAAACACCTGATGATGGCTTTACTATCCAACACACCTGTGTGCTGAAGTAGGAACTAATTGGTACGTTTTGTTTACGTGACTGACCTTACTGATTGGCTGTGTCGGATGGTGGCGGGTTAATGACACATTTATATCCACGAGATCCTACTGAAAAAAACATTTACGGTTAAGGGTTGTGTGTCGATGGGGTCATTGATATGTCCAGAAAAGACCCACTTCGAGCCAAATAGCTCTTTTTCAGAGGTCACCTGGCCACAAACGATAGCTCAACGAAGTTGTTTATTGTGTGTAAATATTTATAGCGGCCAAGTAATCTAAACGTGGAGGGTTGGGGTCGAACCCACGACCTCATGTATATCAGGTGAGGTAGTTCACATCTTGCTACCATGGCACCCAGTAGTACAATCACGGTGCAATAATCGCCCTGATTACATTTTGATGCTTCCGCAATTCAATTTTGCTACAAATGGTTTTTTAAAGTGATTTGTCTGCGCCGACTTGCAGTATGGGATATTTATTTAATTTAATATTGATTTTTCTGATTGTGCACGGTTTTAAATTTCTTTCTCTGATTATGCACTGATTTATAATTTGTTGTTTGCGTGGGCCGCGTCCGTTGCATCCAGGTTTTGCTGGCACGCCGGGATATCTGTCCCCGGAGGTGCTCCGGAAGGATCCGTACGGAAAACCCGTGGACATGTGGGCGTGCGGTGAGACATTCCCCCAGCCCCCCCCCCCCCCCCCCCCTGTGTGTGACCGCCACTGAACAACAATCGCCAGCAATCGCTGCGATTGTAACCATGCTAACAACACTATTGTCTACAACAATAGAAACAGTGTGGTGACAATAATAACTACTGTGACACTTGAAGAATGGGGGTATTTTAACAATAGCAACAATGAGTGCCGAGTAGAACCAGGGTGTGAATGGTGTTGGAAACACCGTTCCTTTAAGTGTTATCCCGAAGGTAAATAGGTGCTTGCTAACAACACTTGCCAACGCAGCCTCTGAAGCTAAATGGGAATCTTTATCGTATGTGTGCACGAGTGTGTGTTTGTGTGTTTTACGGGGAGCGGTGGCACAGTGGCATGCGCATTGCACTATGAACCCGACGACTTGGGTTCAATTCCCGGCCACCACGACTAACATCAGTGGCAAGTGGTATCATAATTTGTCTCGATTCTTCTCAATGTTCAATTCAGCCTTAAATGGGTACCTGCTGCGATATGTAAACATTGCGGTGCTGGCCACAACCAACCCTTTGTGCGCCATGCCGGCCTTCACATTGAAGGTACCAACTAACAGCGCCTGCCCCAATATTCTGTTCAAGGCTACAGGGGCGATCTATAGTTTGGTCTTTATCTGTGTGTATACATGTACTAATATCACGTGCTGTGCCGGCTTTCATAAACACTCACCAAAACCACTTACCCCAACAGTCTGCTAAATGCTATATAGAAGATCCTTGTCTCGGTGTCTAACGCATGCGCGTATGCGTGTGTGTATAGGAGTGATCCTGTACATCTTGCTGGTTGGGTACCCTCCCTTCTGGGATGAGGATCAGCACCGCCTGTATCAGCAGATCAAGGCCGGAGCCTACGACGTAAGGTTCACAACAACACACCCAGGGCGACTCGCAGCCAAACAATCTCCCACAATCTTCTTTGGTTCTTTTCGGTAAAGTCACGTAGAATGAGAATAAAATAATAAAATAAACTAAGACAATAAAATTCTCACGACGTTTCGGCCACAACACAAGTAGCCTTCTTCAGGTGAAAGAACAGAACTGTCGGGACGACAGAGCTTGAATGAACGCTGTTAAGATTCGTAGCGTCTTTTAAGCTCGGTGAGAGGCGTGGAGAGCCTTGAAAAAGGAGTTTACCTATCACAGCAGGAGAATTTAGCATTGAAATAGCTGAGGGATTAGCTTGTGACAGAAATAGCTGTGTTAAACATACTCTTTGGTTCTATTCGGTAAAGTCACGTAGGTAAAAATAAAATAACAAAAATCACGATGTTTCGGCCACAACACAAGTGGCCTTCATCAGGTGAAGGGACCGGACTGTCCAAGGGACTGCGTTGAAGTGAAGACAGCCAAGCCCAGGTCGCGTCCTTTAAGCTGTGTGGGAGGAAACAAAAAACGCCTTGACAAAGGAATTAACATAAAATGATGAAGGCCACTTGTGTTGTGGCCGAAACGTCGTGACTTTTGTTATTTTATTTTTACCTACGTGACTTTACCGAATAGAACCAAAGAGTATGGATCCTTGCAGTCACGAAAGCTTCAAATCTAGAAAAGAAGCTGTGTTAAAGTCAAAGTTTACATATCAACAGAGGCATTTAGTACATGGACGCTAAAGGCGTCCATCTACCAACTATCATAAAGTAAACCGGTGTGAAAAAACCCAATCTATATTACATCAATATAATAAATGTACTTAATATTGATGTAATATAGATTTAGTTTTTTCACACCGGTTTACTTTATGATAGTTGGTAGTTGGAGGCCTTTAGCGTCCATGTACTAAATGCCTCTGTTGATATGTAAACTTTGACTTTAACACAGCTATTTCTGTCACAAGCTAATCCCTCAGCTATTTCAATGCTAAATTCTCCTCCTGCTTTGATAGGTAAACTCTTTTGTCAAGGCTCTCCACGCCTCTCACCGAGCTTTAAAGACGCTGCGAATCTTAACAGCGTTCATTCAAGCTCTGTCGTCCCGACAGTTCTGTTCTTTCACCTGAAGAAGGCCACTTGTGTTGTGGCCGAAACGTCGTGAGAATTTTATTGTCTTATTTTATTTTATTATTTTATTCTCATTCTACGTGACTTTACCGAAAGAACCAAAGAGGATGAATCCTTGCAGTCACGAAAGCTTTAAATCGAAATTTAACCTCCCACAAATGCCCATATGGCCACACACGGCCACACACGGCCACACACAGCTACACACAGCCATAAAGACGAACACAAAGTGCCCCCGTTATAGCCTGAACAGACTGTTGGGACAAGTGCTGTCAGCAAGTAGCACCTATTAATGCTGGCATGGCACAGGAGGGGGTGGGTCGCCAGCACCACGCCCATGTTTACACACTGCACCAGGTACTCATTTGATGCTGAGTCCACCTAGGGGAGGCCCAGGACCGGTTCGGATAATCCTCACTCATGGTGGACGTAAGCGGGAATCGAACTCGGGTCGCCGGGTTCGTAGTGCACCACGCTAACCGCGACACTACCGCTCCCCACACAGCTACACAACCTCCCACAGCCACACACACAAGATGCACAACTCAGGCACAACCACACAACTTCTCCACATCCATGCATCCCCCATGATCTTTGTGGCGAAGGCCCAACGAGCGAGGACACGTGCTCTCTGGTCCACGTTGTTTAATACATTGCCACCTTTTAAAAAAACAATAAGGTCATTAACCAGGACGCGTCGGGTCCATGGGCCTGGTGGATATTTGCATGCCGTTGTATTTTTGTCGCCCAACGCTCTGCGATGGGCCTTTGTTCTTGTGGGCAGCAGAGAACTAATGAATATATTTTTTAAAAGGGGCGTTTTGTCTTTTCGGCCAAATTTATCTGATTGGCCCATCGCCGTCTTGAGTCAGAGTCCATTCGGAACTCTTAGCGTAGTCGCTCGACAGCGACCCGCCAAAGCGGATAACGCTGAATTCCCACACAGTACGGGGACCCGAACTACGTATGCTGCATGTGATGGCCTCATTCTTCCAGCGCGTGCAGGGCAACCAGGCCCGCCTGGCATGCCGTAGCAAAACAAAACAAAACCAACAAAAATCTCCCACTGTTTGCCACCTCCTTGCGACGCTCATACTTCTCTGCAACGAGCGTTATGGCGATGTTGCTGCTGCACTTGCCAATTATGCACAAGGCACAATGATTAACCGAAAAACTCGATGCATTTTAACAAGTAACTTCACCCTAAATGGGGAAACAAATGATAATGGGTGACATTTTTGGGGTCCATTGCCTGAAACGTTGCTTGTTATATATTTTGTCCTTGACGAACGTGAGTTTGACTGGGCCCCATTTTGTTCATGACTGTGGGTTTTGTCTTTTGTGTCTCCTGCAACGCGCGTGCAGTTCCCGTCGCCCGAGTGGGACACTGTCACCCCAGAGGCCAAGAGCCTCATCAACCAGATGCTGACGATAAATCCGGCCAAGCGTATCACGGCCTCGGAGGCCCTCACCCACCCCTGGATCTTCGTGAGTATTTACAGCCGAACAGTGGCTCTGAGCGTGATGCACTGTGGATGACTAGTGGCTCAGTGTTGCTAAGTGGAGCACTGTGGATAACTAGTGTCTCAGTGTTGCTAAGTGATGCACTGTGGATGACTAGTGGCTCAGTGTTGCTAAGTGATGCACTGTGGATGACTAGTGGCTCAGTGTTGCTAAGTGATGCACTGTGGATGACTAGTGGCTCAGTGTTGCTAAGTGATGCACTGTGGATGACTAGTGGCTCAGTGTTGTTAAGTGATGCACTGTTGATGACTAGTGGCTCAGTGTTGCTAAGTGATGCACTGTGGATGACTAGTGGCTCAGTGTTGCTAAGTGATGCACTGTGGATGACTAGTGGCTCAGTGTTGCTAAGTGGTGCACTGTGGATGACTAGTGGCTCAGTGTTGCTAAGTGGTGCACTGTGGATGACTAGTGGATCAGTGTTGCTAAGTGTTGCACTGTGGATGACTAGTGGCTCAGTGTTGCTAAGCGGTGCACTGTGGATGACTAGTGGCTCAGTGTTGCTAAGTGGTGCACTGTGGATGACTAGTGGCTCGGTGTTGCTAAGTGATGCACTGTGGATGACTAGTGGCTCAGTGTTGCTAAGTGATGCACTGTGGATGACTAGTGGCTCAGTGTTGCTAAGTGATGCACTGTGGATGACTAGTGGCTCAGTGTTGCTAAGTGTTGCACTGTGGATGACTAGTGGCTCAGTGTTGCTAAGCGGTGCACTGTGGATGACTAGTGGCTCAGTGTTGCTAAGTGGTGCACTGTGGATGACTAGTGGCTCGGTGTTGCTAAGTGATGCACTGTGGATGACTAGTGGCTCAGTGTTGCTAAGTGATGCACTGTGGATGACTAGTGGCTCAGTGTTGCTAAGTGATGCACTGTGGATGACTAGTGGCTCAGTGTTGCTAAGTGATGCACTGTGGATGACTAGTGGCTCAGTGTTGCTAAGTGATGTACTGTGGATGACTAGTGGCTCTTGCTACGTGATGCACTGTCGATGACTAGAGGCTCAGTATGGCACCTTCCTCACGGTTGGGGTGATGGCTTTGCAGATTGTGTAGTCTGAATATCCATTCGCCTTGAGAGCTTAGTGTACATCTTGGTTCTTTCGGTAAAGTCACGTAGAAGGGAAACAATAAAATAATAAAAATATCAAACAATTAAATTATCACGACGTTTCGACTGCAACACAAGCAATCATCATCAGGTGTGAAAACCACAACAAGAAAATTTGAAAAAAGTGGTGTTTTTTAATGTTAGCACCACGGATAGCGATTTGACAGTTTGTTCAGATGGACGAGTCCATCTATATTCTTGGTTCTTTCGGTAAAGTCACGTTGAAGGTAAACAATAAAATAATAAAATGTATTGTTTTATATATTTTATTATTTTATTGTTTCCCTTCAACGTGAATTTACCAAAAGAACCAAGAGTATGAATCACTGCAGTCACGAAAGCTTTAAATCTAAGTTTGAGTCCATCTATGTTCGGAAAAGAGGAGGGGGGAGACGAAAAATAATGGATGCGGTCTGAAAGCCACCTTAAGCGTGAACAATCAATTAAGACCCGAAATGGTTTATCAAATCCTTCCAATGATTACTAAGCCAGAATCCATCTTCTCTGTTGAAATTGTCTCTGTGTTTGTATATGTGGATAGCCTCATGAACGAATCTCTCATGGTAGCCAGATGGCTTGCAAAGAACCTCTGTCTTGGAGAAGTCAATGTCATGTGAACCTACTGAATTATAACAGTGATCTGCCATGGCCGAGGTGTTGGTCCTACCGTGTTTCAGGTCTGCTTTGTGTTCACGAATACGGTCCGAGACATGTCGTTTGGTTTCTCCAATGTAACTACTACCACAGAGGCAACTTAGTTTGTAGACGCCAGGGTACTGTATGTCCGGAATCACATCTTTTACAGACGGAACCAGATCACGGATTTTATGTAATGTGTTGAATCGGACCTGGATCTTGTGTTTATTCAAGATGTTGGAGTTTTTTGTGATCCCCGCAATGTAGGGTAAAGTGATGGTTTTGAAAGGCTCCTCAAGAGGGTCCTTCTTCATGGTTGGAGTGATAGCTTTGCGGATTGTGTAGTCGGAATAACCATTAGCCTTAAGAGCTTGGTGTACGTGCTTGAGTTCACTGGCTATATGTTCCTGGTCAGATATGCATTGGGCTCTATGGTGCAGAATCTTGATGAGGAAATTCTTCTGGGATGGATGGTGGTGGGAATCCGGTTTCGGATAAGCATCCGTATGGGTAGCTTTCCTGTAGACAGAGTAGCTCATTGAACCATCAGGTCTTTTTTTATTAGGACATCCAAGAAAGGTAGCTTGCCATCTTTTTCGACTTCCATGGTAAATCTGATGGCTGGGTGTATGGAATTGATGTGGTCGAAGAATTGGTCTAGAGCAGGCCAGCCATGTGGCCAGATGCCAAAAGTGTCATCCACGTACCTCTTCCATAAGGTTGGGCACAGAGTGGCAGTCTGGATGGCGTCAGTCTCAAATTTCTCCATGAAAATGTTGGCTACAACCGGAGATAGGGGGGGGAGCCCACTGGGGTGCCCTCGGTTTGTTTGTAGAAAGTTCCATTCCAAGTGAAGTATGTATTGGTTAAGCAGTGTCTTACCAGAGGGGGTACCTCAGTGTTTAGTCCTTGATGAACCAAGTCTTCAATGATTGCGATGGTGTCAGGTACAGGAACTTTGGTGAATAAGGGAACTACATCAAAACTGACGAGCAGGTCGTCTGGGGACAGGGAAATATCCTTGATTGTCGATACCAGGTGAGTAGAATTTTGTACCGCAGAGGTGGTTTTTCCAGTGAAAGGCCGCAGGATTTCAGATAGAAAACGAGCCAGTTTGGAGGTGGGGGAGTTGCTAGTAGAGACAATGGGACGAAGGGGTTGTATCTACTTTATGTATTTTTGGTAAGCCGTATAATCTTGGTGGCCTGGAAGCAGAAGGTTTCAACGAGAACTGTTTGGTTTGATAAATTGAATCAGAAATGATTTTGTAGGTTTTTATGACGAGGCTGTTGGTGGGATCTCTTTTTATTTTTGTTTAGCTGCCATCGTTGAGTAATTATTTAATTTTGTTGTTATATTCTATTTTTTCCATGATGACAGTGGCATTGCCCTTGTCGGCTGAGAGGATGGCAATGTCATCCCTCTTTTTTATTTATATAATTCAAAACACTCATCTTTGCTGAGGTTGCTAGCTGGCATCTTAGCGTTTTTAAGGGTTGCAGCGATTTCAGATCTTGCTACGTCTGCAGCGATGTGACCCAGGCCCTTGAGAGCCACGTCTACTTGGGCAATGATATCATTAACTGGTATGTGTTTAGGTGTGACTGCAAAGTTCAGCCCTTTAGCTAAAACGGATTTCAGACCATCGGAAATAGAACTGTTACTGCGATTAATTACGACTTTGTTAATGTCTAGCTTTGCAACCCATCTGGCTACCATGAGAGATTCGTTCATGAGGCTATCCACATATACAAACACAGAGACAATTTCAACCGAGAAGATGGATTCTGGCTTAGCAATCATTGGAAGGATTTGATAAAACCATTTCGGGTCTTAATTGATTGATCACGCTTAAGGTGGCTTTCAGACCGCATCCATTATTTTTCGTCTTCCCCCTCCTCTTTTCCGAACATATATGGACTCGTCCATCTGAACAAACTGTCAAATCGCTATCCGTGGTGCTTACGTTAAAAAAACGCCACTTTTTTCAAATTTTCTTGTTGTGGTTTTCACACCTGATGATGATTGCTTGTGTTGTGGTCGAAACGTCGTGAGCATTTTATTGTTTCATATTTTTATTATTTTATGGTATCCCTTCTATGTGACTTTACCGAAAGAACCAAGAATATGAATCCCTGCAGTCACGAAAGCTTTAAATCAAAATTTCGTGGCTAAGTGTTGCTAAGTGATGCACTGTGGATGACTAGTGGCTCAGTGTTGCTAAATGGTGCACTGTGTCTCACGAGTGGTCCACTATCGCTTCACTGTGGCTGACAGTGTCATATGCACATGGCACACGTGTGTTTGTGATGTCTCTGTGATCCGTGTCATGCTCTCGTGTCTTGCATGTGCTTGTGTTTCACGAAAAACATACCTGTGCTTTGTTTAACTCATTCGTGGCATGTGCATAATATATTTTTGCTGTGTACAATGCACCGGTGTTTTATGTAAATGTGCTGCATGCTACGTATAATATGCTCATGTCACGTGTCACGTGATTGCTGTGTCATGTACGTGCGCGTGTTGCTTAACTGCAGACCCGTACCTTGTTCAACTCATCCTCGTTATGTACCAGCGTTTTGGTGTCATGTACAAGCGTGTTGGTGTCTCGCCGCGCTCGTGTCCTTGTGTCTTGTGTTACGTGCCCTCCGCTGCGTAAGTAACACTCTCGTGCCAAGTAAGCAAAGTGGTTGCGTGTCCCGCACGTGCTCGCGTCTTGGGCAACCGGGCAACTCGCCCGTGCCACGTATGACGCACTCATGTCGCGTGTGACGTGTCCCCGCCCCCTGCTTCCCACAGCAACGCTCTACCGTGGCGTCGTGCATGCACAGGCAGGAGACGGTCGAATGCCTCAAGAAGTTCAACGCCCGGCGCAAGCTCAAGGCAAGAAAGGGATGGGAACACAACGTGCCTGGATTAGTGTTCGAGTTGCGTTTAGGGATGGCAGCGAGTTTTTTTATACCTATAAATCATCCCACTAAATTATTCGTGATGTCGTTTAAAGGGAATTCTGTGATTTATTTTATTTTCTACCTACGTGACTTTACCGAAAGAACCAAAGAGTGGATTTCTGCAGTCACGAAAGCTTCAAATCAAGAGAGAATTCTAGTTTTAGTAAACAAAGGAGACACATTTTCTTTTGGCTGATAACACCTTTAATGTATAGAGGACTGCAGAGCTTGGGCAATTGCTTTTGCCTGCGGTTCCTCCTTGCCCCTCTTTGAGTCTCTCTCGACGAGAGTAAGCGCGTAACTGCTCGGCGCGTTCTTGTGTTGCAAGTCAACGGTTTCGCACGCATACTTAAATGCGTCGCCCACCATCCTGGCGTGGATGAAAAGCAACGTTTGTCCAAGTACACCCAATTAACCGTGGTATTTTGTTGGGCTTTCTCCCTTATCAAGAAAGGTGGGCAAATTTTATATGTGATGCGAATGACAGTCCTAATTATTTAACACTCTGTACTCAAGCAGAGTCATTTCGTTGTTATGATAATGATGACTCACATCTTTAAAAATGTCTAAAACGTACGTGTGGAAGGGCAGAACTTTCCCATCTGTCAAACTAGCGATGTGACGCCTTAATTCTCCGTCGTGTCAAGGAAGTTCCTATTTGCCCGAAGACTCCCACGTGCTTACACGCCAATCGCACACACACACACACACGTCCATTGAATCATTTTTTTTAAGTCGTCATTTGCCGAGTGACGGCAACACTCGTCGCTGTGCTTAACGTTTTTTTTGTTTTTCGTCATTTTGACCGACTCAGGTCACACGCGCAAATGAGACTCATCCTGGTCTCTTGAGATATCACCTGGTTAAACAAAAGAAACTTGCCATCACCACAGCACTTGCGCCGGGCTAGGTGCACTTTTGAAGCCACGTGGAAAATCAAAAAGACTTGCGGGCAAGGAGGTCACGGCGCAGACCCCCAGGTGCTATAGGTTAACTGACTTGAGTTGTTGAGACGATGGCGAAGTTGCGACTGTGCAAGCGCACACACAGACAAAGATCCCCCGTGTAGCCTTAACAGACTTGGGACAAGTGCTGTTAGCGAGCACCTGTTAAGGCCAGCACGACACACGAGGGGGTGGGTGGCCAGCACCACGCCCGGCCGCCTTTGTCTCCACAGTGGCGATGTTTATACATCACACCAGGTACTCGTTTGAGGCTGAGTCGACCTAGGGGAGGCCCAGGATCGGTTCAGATAATCATCACTGGTGTTGACCGTGAGCGGGAATCGATCTCGGGTCTCCGGGGTTCGTAGCGCAGCACGCGCAGCGCTACACTGCCGCTCCCTTGTTGCTCACCTCGTTGACTGCTGCTGGTGTGTGTCCCCCAAACCATCTTTGCTGTCCCACGGTGCCCTCCACGGGTGTGCTAACGGCCGTCACACTCAACTTGCACTGCAGGGAGCCATCCTCACTACCATGCTCGCCACGCGGAACTTCTCAGGTAGCGCCTCTCTTGCTCTGTGCCGCTGTTTGTTCTATGTTTGTGCGTGTGCATGCATGCGTCCGTGAGCGTGTGCGAGCGTGTGTGAGTATGGGGAGTGGTAGGTGCTCTCGAACAGTACTCGCCCGAATAGTCTGTTAAGGCTATAGGAGGGGGTCTTTGTGGGAAGCAGTAGGCCTAGTGGGTCACACCGGTGACCCGAGTTCGATTCCAGCTCACGGCCAACACCAGTGATGATTACCTGAACCGGTCCTGGGCCTCCCGAGGTGGACTCGGCATCAATTGAGTACCTGGTGCAGTGTGTAAAAATGGACGTGGTGTGGGCGACCCGCATTCTTGTATGCCATGCCGGCATTCATCGATGCTACTTGCTGACAGCACTTGCCCCAACAGTCTGCTCAGGCTATACGGGGGCTCTTTGTGTTTGTCTTTGTGGCTGTGTGGGGCCGTGTGTAGCCGTATGGGCATTTGTGGGAGGTTGGTTGGCTCAGCCTTAAATGAGTAACTGGCGCGGTGTGTAAATATCGCCACTAGAGAGACAAAGGCGGCCAGGCGTGGTGTTGGCCACCCACCCCCTCGTGTGCCCTGCCGGCCTTCATAGGTGAATGCTAACAGCTCTTGCCACAACAGTCTGTTAAAGCTATGTGGGGGGGTTCTGTGGGGAGCAGTAGTGTAGTGGGGTCACACCAGCGACCCGAGTTTGATTCCAGCTCAAGACCAATTACAGTGGTGAATCCATATAGAGTGGTGAATGCCTGAACTGGCCCTGGGCCTCCCCTAGGTCGACTCGGCCTAAAATTAGTAACTGGTGCAGTATGCAAACATCAGAATTGGAGGAGACAAAAGTGGCCAGATGTGATTCTGGCCACACCACCCCCATCGTGTGCCGCCCGTAGCACCTTGACTTGGTGCTCGCTGTAACAGCGCTTGACCCCCCCAGCAGTCTGTGAAGGCTGCCTGGGGGGGGGGGGGACTTGGGAGCGGTGGTGTAGTGGGTCGAGCACTGTGCTATGGACCTGGTGATTTGGGTTAATTTCCAACCATGGCTAAGACAAATGGCAAATATCAGAGCTGGTCATGGGCCCTCTCTTAGGTGAACTGAGCCTTAAATCTGTCCCTGGTTTGGTCTGTAAATCATGAGCAATGGGGGAAACAAAGACTGCCAGGCATTGGACTGGTCATTCTGCTACTTCGGGCACCGCATTGACCTGAATAAGTGCTCACCAACAGAACGTCCTTCTATAAGGATAAGGATGAATGGGAAATCTTTCTGTGTGCGTCAACATCGGCACTCAGTAGACCCAGAAGGGTGGGTGTGGCCGACCGTGCAAATCGGAGGTGATGTGAAGTGTATTTTAGGGTCAGACATTGGTGTAACCTCGCTGATGATGTCCATCTCTTGTTCCACCAGCGGCCAAGAGCCTGATGAACAAGAAGACGGACGGCGTGAAGGTACGTCCTCTCTCCCAACCATGTATCGACAATGTTTTTACGAGACGCAAGTGCGTATTTATCCATTGCTGCGAGGATCTTCGACTGCATATAATCGGGCACTGGAGGGGAAGATTTTTCAATTCGGCGAAACTTTCTAGGTTGTGCCGCTGCGCTCTGCTACTTCTATCACTGCAAAAAAAGGGGGCCTTCGGATTTGAAATGCGGTCCAGAACCCGCTGGGTGCTGGCACCAACGTCGGCCCGTAATCCATCACTCTGAGTGTACTTTCCCGATAGCTGCCACCTGCCACTGGAAGAGGGTCCATGGGAAGAAAAAAAACCTCTCCCGGGAGAAGTCAGCGAGTCGCACACTTATCCAGAAGGCAGTGGGAATGGAAACGCGTGGCACCGTGATTTTTATTGACCCGCCCATACTGGACATCGGTGAAAAAGAGCTTCATAGCTCATTTGATTCATACGGTGTGAAAGAAGGAATGAATACCTACATACACTATATGCATTCTCAAGTAAATTTGTCGTAATATTGCGACGATCGAAACTGTTCAACTATAAAAGAAACTTGCCGTCACGTAGCGTTCCAAACGCCGCACGAGGGCAGCGTCTGTTTCTAAAGGAACCCGGGGTGCAGTGCGAGCGGTCGCAGCCATGCGTATAGAAGAGCGTGAGAATGATCGCCCTCTTTACAGAGGCGGTGGGGGGGGTGGATTTTTTGTTTTCACGGTTTGCAGAGCACAGGCCCTCAGGCTCTATTTTTATTTTCACAGGTAAGGCTCAATGAGCTATGTAGCTCTTTATCAGAAGCGACCTGGCTATCACAAATGACACCTCAATGAAGTGGCTTATCACGAGGAAATTTCTGCCAGCCAAAATACTCTGAGTGGCCCTAATTTATTTATTTTCAGTGTGAAGGCCTTTTCGTTTCATCGGTGGTTGGGGGGAGTGGGGAGGCATTAATGCGCATGCGTGTCCACGCATTCCTGTCTGTGCTGCAGGAGTCCACAGACAGCAGCAACACCACTCTGGAGGATGAAGACCTCAAACGTAAAAGCCACATGAGGGGGACATAGCCACGGGAAACGGCCATTGGCTGACATGTCACCTGTTTACATTTATAGATTGTCTTCCTTTCAAGGTCACGGTGCTATTGGCATGGAATGTGTTGAGTTGTTTGGTTGTTAATTTTGCTTGTTGCACCACTGCCAACATAGCAGCAACATGATCAACATATTTAGAGTATAATTGGTGACAAGCCAGTGAAGTTTCGGGTGCGTCTTTTACAAGTATTCCCAAGTACATTGGAATTAGTTACTGGGATACTCTTTAAGGATGCACCCGCTATATATATTTAAAAAAACTAAATGTAGTCTCAAAACTAAGTACAATGCATGCACTCGTTCTGATGGAGGTGATGGTAATGTCTTAGGTCTAGATGATAACGGTGATTTGATTGTGTTGCCGTCCCGTCAAACGCCATGGCGACAGTGCGCAAGCAAGAGATCATCAAGGTGACGGAGCAGCTGATTGAGGCGGTCAACCACGGAGACTTTGAGGCCTACACGTACGTCCCCCAGACCTTCCCACCCAAAAAAATGGTGGTGGCAATTGTGGGGGCGCGCCTGTAATCCAGCACTGCGGAGGCGAGGGTTTGTGGATCGCCCAAAATGTTGCGTCACTCCATTTCCGTGGGCCTTGAGATGCTATGCCCCTCGCTTGTCAGGAGAATGCAGTGGGGCAAAGTGTGGACGAATATCGTCTATCCCTTGTGTATGGGATAGAGCGTTACCCCTTCGCACGTGTGATTTTATCCGGGTGCTCCGGTTTCCTCTCTACAAGTATAAAACACTCACTAATTGGCTGAAAACATCTTAATATACAGTAGAACCCCTCTTAACGACCACCCCTGTTAACGACTAATCACTTAACGGCGGGCCTCCATAGAGCCCAGTGTGTAGTGTAGTTTATAATGTAGTTTATAGTAGTGGAGTGTATAGTAGTGTAGAGTAGAATCCCTCTTAACGACCACCCCTGTTAACGACTAATCGCTGAACAATGGGCCTCCTTAGAGCCCAATGTGTAGTGTAGTGTATAGTAGTGTAGTGCCTCCTTAGAGCCCAATGTGTCATGTAGTGTAGTGCCTCCTTAGAGCCCAATGTGTTTGTTTACTGACCATTCCTCTATTAACGACGGGCTGTTGTAGGTACAATAAATATTGATTAATGCATTGAGTCACCATGTTTCTTTTAATATTATGTGTTGATAATGTTTAAACAATGGATATGAATACATAAAGATACTAACAACATTATAAAGTATGTTTTTTGGGTGAAGATGGGTAAATTCGGAACGAATGAAGCCTTTAACATATATTTCCTATACTCGCTTAACGACCAAAAATCACATAACGACCAGTTTCATGGAACCCCAATTACCATCGTCGAGAAGGGTTCTAGAACTGCAGAGCAATTATTGGCACCTGCTCACCGTGCGGCTACCTTCCACCTTGTCTGTGGCGGCTCCTCCTCCGCGATGGTGAGATGCACTTTGCATGAACGACGATGCTACATAAAACTGTATTGAGTCAAAGCGAATAGGGGAGATCCCATCGTACATATTGATAAGGGAATGTACGATGTCCGATGCAGCTTTTGGTTGATAACCTTCTTCCCTCTTCATCCCTCATTCCTCCTCCTCCACCTCTTCCAGGAAGCTCTGTGATCCAGGGATGACGTCCTTCGAGCCGGAAGCGCTGGGAAACCTGGTGGGAGGGATGGAGTTTCACAAGTTCTACTTTGAAAACCGTGAGGCTCACAAGCCACGCAACCTTGAAACCCCCTCGCTCCGTGACCTCCACCTTCATTTCCCAATATTCTAACTCTGTTTTCTTGTACTCCCAACAACAGTGACAGTTGCCAATGGCTAGTGTGACTCGTGGTCATACGTATGCACACACTAGAATTAATGTTTACACACCATGCTAAGTACTCAATTAAGACGCAGTCAACCTAGGAGAGACCGTGGCCATCATTCGAACCTCAGTCCCAATTTTCAGAGCGCAGCATGCGAGCCGCTGCCCGGTTGCACGTGGAAAAAAATACATTCCCTGTGTAAAGCCAGAATGTAGACTCGAAGCTCTTGTATATAGTATGCCTGTTGAACTTCTTTCTCACCGTGCACAGCCAGCTCCAGTGGCTTCCTAATTATGGAAGGAAGAGCGTTCCAGACGACCGCAGAAGCGCATAATAAAGCGCGCAATGCGGTGGCCGTCTTTGTTCGATGGTTAACCAAAAGCCGCTGTGAGGATGACCAGCGTTTGCGTGATGGTTTATGCTCCTTGATGAGATCAGCAAGGTTAATTGCTGTTAGAGAGCACCTAGTACACATACATATTCTGATTCAAGGCTTGCATGCCTGACCACACCTGTGTTTTCCCCATTGCTGGTGTTCACACACCTTGCAGGGTGCTCATTTAAATCTCGAGTCGACCTTGGGGGGAGGCTCCAGAACAGGTTCTGGTATTGCTTGCCCCCCGATGCGAGCCACGGTGAGAATTTTAACCCGGGTCGCCGGGTTCATAGCGGAGTGCGTGAACCACTTGCGCCACTGCTTCCCCCACATGCGTCCACACGCCGAGTGCTGGAGTTGATATTATTTACAATTAAAGCGCCTTCACAGCAGGTGGTGTGCGCAGGCTGCTAGGTAGCCCAGCTGTCATTGAGCCTTTTGGCTCCCTCCCTTCTCTCACTCTCTCCCCCTTGCCCTTTCTCTTGCCTTTCTCTTACCCAATCTCTGCATTTCATCAATTTATCCATGTGTGTCTCTCTCTCTCTCACGCTCTCTGTCCTTCTCTTGAAATTCCCTTCCATCTGCCTCCCCCCTGCCTTTATCCCGACTCCTCTCTACTCCCACCTCTCTTCCCTTGCTTGCCTGCCTCCCTCTCTTAATTTCTCTATCCCCTTCTTTGGTTCTTTCGGTAAAGTCACGTAGAATGAGAATAAAATAATACATTGATAAATATCAATTTATTAATAATAAATTGACAAATATCAATGTATTATTTTATTCTCATTCTACGTGACTTTACCGAAAGAACCAAAGAAGATGAATCATTGCAGTCACGAAAGCTTTAAATCGAAATTCTCTATCCCCCTTCTCCCCACGCGATTCTGCTTCCCCCACCTCTCCATTTCTCCTCTCTCATAACAATACAGTACCTTGTGGATAATATAGCATTGTAATTCACCACATCACTTGTGCCAGGCTAGGTTCACTTTTAATGTCACGTAAGGAATCAAAAGGTTTTCGGATAGGCGATCACAGCAGACTCAGGTGTCATGGGTTAACTGTATGTATGTTGAACTTCTTTCGTATACATAGCCAACCGTTATAATCGGAGGTGCGGGGGAAACAGTTCTAAAGAAATGAGTTTTCAATTTAGATTTTAAAGTGCATAGCTCCATTTGGCTTCCTGATATCGCAAGGAAGAGCATTCCAGACGGCCAGAAGCGCATCTGAAAGCACGCGGTGCAATTATAACCGTCTTTGTTTGATGGTGAGCCAAAAGCCGCTGCCAGAAACTTACTGAGATGACAGATGGTGGCTGAGACTGTGCGAACACAAACACACGTAGCATTGATATTTAACTGCATCTCAAAGCACTGCACAGTGCGAGGTGAGCATATTTATATGATAGATAGAGGCAGCCAGTCGTTGGTTTATATTTGATTCGATGCGAGTCTACGGGAGAGAAATATGTAGTCCGTGATAGGGAGAGGAGAAAAGAACGATCTTGAGCCTGGATTTTAACGAGGGCAGGGAGTCGACAGCACCGATTTTTTTACACTTTTTTTATTATCTTCCCCAGTAAGGTCCACTGAGCTGTATAGCACTTTTTCAGAAGTGACCTGGCCCCAAATGGTAGCTCAAAGAAGTGGCTTATCAAGTTGAAATTATAGCAGCCAAATACTCGAAATGCATGTTGATTATAATAAATGTGGAGGAAAAACCGGAGGACCCAGAGAAAAATCCACACGACCATGGGGAGAGAGACCACCGCAAACTCCAAAATATACAGGCATTAGGGTCGGGATCAAACCCACGACCTCCTGCATACTAGGCCGAGGCAGTTCACATCTCGCCACCGTGGCGCCCCAATAACTCCACGAGGCTCCCCTAGGTAAACGAGTAGAGTGATAATCAGAATAATAACCTTGCCTGTACCCCCCCCCACCACAACACCCCCAGTTTTCTCAAAGAGCCAGCGGCCCGTGCACACGACATTGCTGACGCCACACGTGCACTTGCTGGGCGAGGAGGCGGCGTGCGTGGCCTACGTGCGGCTCACGCAGTACGTGGACAACGCCGGCGTGCCGCGCACGCAGCAGGCCGAGGAGACGCGCGTGTGGCACCGGCGCGACGGCAAGTGGCAGAGCGTGCACGCGCACCGCTCGGGAGCGCCCACGCAGCACGGCAGCGCCAAGTAAGCCGCCGCCACATCGATACACCGTACACCGCCACCACGCACACACACGCTTGCCACCCACTGCCTCCACCACCCCACGCCTCCCATCCCACGCCAACACCCACCCCACGGACCCACCTCCCGCATGTCACCCACCCCCACCTTACCACCCCCCCCTACCCACCTTACCACCCACTCCACCACGCCACCACCCCCCTATCCACCTTACCACCCACCCACCCACCCCCAATCTCACCCACTCACTACTCCTCCCCCACCCACGTCCACCACAGCTCTTTTGTGCCAAGCTCGGTGCCACTTTGAACGCATGTGTACACAATGCACCTGTGTTGGGTCGTGCTGAGCGGTTAAATATAATTATTTATTATTCAATCGCATGCATGGGCAGTCGCTATTGCGCATTAGGTATTTTTACGGGCTTTTTTTAATGAAACAATATATGGCACCTGTTGTTGTTAACCTGTCTCGCTATTCCACTCCCCACCCTTCCCCTCCCATCTGTTTCCCTCCCCCACCCCTCCTTCATGACCAATATAATTTGTTCTGATTAATGTTTAAATGGCACAAATTGGGTCTGCCAACCACAATTGGTGAGATTAATTGGGTCTGCTTTATTGAAATCCGATTGGAAAGGTGTGGAGCCTCGATGGGACAGATGTTATACAGGGCGCGAGTCTGGGGCAGTGGCGTAGCGTGATGAGCATGGGCCCTGGTGCAAAGAATTAAATCGAAGGGGGTCCTCCCTCTCTTCGTTCGTAGTTCGGCCAAGTGGGCCTTGGTGCAGTTGCACCACTTGCACACTCGATAGCTTTACATGACTTACGGTTCTCTCAGTGAGTCCATGTTTTTTTTCTGAGTCTGTGGTTCTCTAAGTCTATGTGAGTCAATTAAATGGTGGGGGGGGGAGGGGGCCTGTCAAATGTATCGCCCGACACTTGGGCCCATTTGGCCCATTTGGCTAATGGGCCTCGGTGCATTTCATTTACACCGCCTGTACACTCCATAGGCATGCCACTGCAACTCATCCTTCCATGGATAAACGATCCTTTCCCCGTCAGTTCTTCTCACCCAAAAGGGAGCTTTTGCTCCGTTGTCACTTTACGCAGGTAGCACATTCACGGACCCCAAAACAAAAATAAATATCAATGAAACATGACGAGCAATGTGAAGTGATCGCCATCAACAAGATCCCACTGAGACCGAAAAGTATTCTTTTCCGAGGGACGAGAGATGTTTGCTGCAAAAGCGAATACAAAAAGCTGATGTAGCAACAACAAAAAACATTAGCCTTGTCGCTTACGTAGAGATGTTAATGCTGTGATCTGGTGCAGCCCTGTTACGAATGTCTTTTTCTACCAGTTAGCACTGTGTAAACAAGTCCTAAAATATCTACAATGAAGGCTGGAGGGGGGGGTATCAACATAAATCAACAATGCAAACAAGGTAAGAGACTGGACAAGCTCGCAGACAGCAATTGAAATAATTCGCCTTCCAGATTTGTCCAGAGCATCAAATTCCTCAACGGTTTTTTTTCGTCGCAGAAAACCGACTGAGAGGGCGTATTCATGCGTGCGTGCGTATCCCACGATCGCCGCATGTTTATTGAGCGTGCGTGCGTGCGGGGATATTTTCATGAAATATTTAGCGTATTGTTGATTTCTTCTTCCCCTTCTCGCTCCCCTTTGAGATGAATTATGCATGCGCTATTCGTGTGATGATACGCTCGGCCAGCGTCGGTAACTAAATCCGTGCCTGCTCCCCCCTGCCCTCCCTTCAGCTAGGAGACTGAAGACAAACTGAGCCGGGTCTCCCAACTGCCTCTGAACAGAGGAGACACGCACACACACGCTCTTGGACAGACACATGCACTCTCACACATACATACACACACACGTACTAGCAGACACATACACGCTCTTGGACAGACACATGCACTCTCACACATACATACACACGCAGAAGCAGACACACACACACGCTCTTGGACAGACACATGCACTCTCACACATACATACACACGTGCTAGCATACACACACACACACACGCTCTTGGACAGACACATGCACTCTCACACATACATACACACGCACTAGCAGACATACACACTCACGGAAAAAACACGCGTGTTCACAGACAAAACAAACAAAGATCCCCCATATAGCTTTAACAGACTGTTGGGGCAGGTGCTGTTAGCGAGCACCTATGAAGGCCGGCAACGGCACACGAGGAGGTGGGTGGCCAACACCACGCCTGGCCGCCTTTGTATCCCAAGTGGCAATGTTTGCACATCACACCAGTTGACCTAGACGAAGCCCAGGACAGGTTCAGATAATCATCACTGGTGTCGGCCATGAGCGGGAATTAAACTCGGGTGGCCGGGTTAAAAGCGCAGCGCGCTAACCGCTGCACGGCCGCTAATGGACTCCCACTCATTTACGGATGCGCACACAGACGCGCACACGGTCACAGACATACACATTTACGGACAGACAATTGCACGCACACACTCATATCCAGGGCCATCTGCACTGACGCACGACATAGTTTTGGATTCGCAACCCAGAAGAAAATTTCCTTTAAAGATAATGCGCGCGGGCAAATACACGTACGTACGTACGTATGCTTTAACATTTATAGTGATGTTTGAACAATGTTTGGATATGTACTTGGATTTAGATGTATACGGTGGAGTTCACTTTGAGAGCTTTTGTAGGCTTTTTGATGATACAGGTTACAACTCAGGTTCCTACAATGATATATTTTTGCGCTTTTTTTAAATAAATATCTCCAGTATAATTACGATAATAATGATACATTCTACAACATTCCCTCGATAAGGCCCATAGAGGTTTAATTAAGGAATATTTTTTGTCGTGATGTTGCATATCAGGTCCACGTGGACGGTAGGCAAGGAACGCCAAGCAATACGATTCCCCCCGCCAGGTGGCGATAGGTAGCATGACGGATCAACCAGGGAATCCGTGGCAGTGCTCGGAGATGCCACTATACAAACAAGACAAAAATCCCCCTTATACAGTGCCGGATTAAGTGAGTGCGGGGCCTGTTACACATGTTATAAAGGGGCAAAAAATAAAAACACGTAAATATTAAAACACACAAATTTTTTACTTGCATAGTAAAGTAATTGTATTTTTTCATTTGCTATACAGCCAGATAGTACGACAAATCGTGATCCTTAAACACTCAATCGTTCATAAAAGTTGAAGGCAGTATAGTACTATAGTAATAGAGCAAGTACAGAATCACTGAACCGGAATTGATAGCTTGAAAGCATTTAGCGCGGGGCTCTTGGAAGTGCGGGGCCCGTAGCTACTACTACACATGTAGTAGCTACTACACATGTAGCGACTACACATGTAGCTACTTTTGCTTTTATAGCCTCAACAGACTTTACATATATACACACACACGCGTGCGCACAGGCACCCACGCACACATGTATTCATTTGCACAGTCAAGACAAAGACGAGACAAAGATCCCCCGTATCGCCTCAACAGACGTTTGCGGCCGGGGTTATATTAACGAGCACCTCCATGAAGGCCGTCATCACGCACGCTATGACACACACACACACAGGTACGTACCCCGCACACGCGCACACATACGCAGGTACGTACCCCGCACGTGCGCACACACACAGGTACGTACCCCACACACACACACGCAGGTACGTACCCCGCACACACACACACGCAGGTACGTACCTACGTTGACCGCACACGCGCACAATGCCAAACATGCATCCAGTCACGCTCACGCATTATTTAGTCATTCCAAGCCGGCGACTTATGGTATGGCTGCAAATGCGATTTTTTTTTTAGGGGTCCACTTTGGTGGTCACCTCCATGGCGATGGTGAAACAGCTTTAAGGGGGTTGAGTGGATGGTGGGGGGGTATAGGCTGCAAAGGGGACTCGAGCTGATGCCCCCTTTTACGTTCGTGTCTCGTACGCACCCTCCCGCCTGCACACACGCGCACACACACACGACAACGACGCACACAAGACAACGATGCGCACACACGCGCACACAACGACACACACAACAACAACCGCCATTCTCCACTAAGTGGCGGTGACGTCACCACGACGTTTGTGCCAGGCCATGTGCACCTTGAGGCCACGTGAAGTATCGAACGCCCGTGGGCAGGAGGTCACGGGGCAGACCCAGGTGCCACGGGTCGACTGACTGAGATGACTGGCTGGTGCACCACCTGTGCCCCCTACTGTGCCAACCTGCTGTGCTTTAGCCACCCGGTGCTCTGCTAGTTGTTGTGAGCGTCGCTCCTCCGCCCTCCGTTGTTGTTGGAGGGCGACTGCCTCTAACTGCCCAGTAGCGTCCTTCACGAGCCTCCTCCACAGAGGCCGATCTTGACACCGCTGGTACCAGTCATCGGCAAGTCCACTCAGCTCCACGTCATCCTGTACCACATCACTCCATCTCTTCTCTAGCCCGTGCCGCGCCCGTTTAACCCCCTCGATCCGGCCGAACAAAAGCTGTTTTGGCATGCGGTGGCTTGGCATGTGGGCTACATGACCCAGCCAACGCAGGCTTGCCTGCCGGAGGAGCTCACCAATGGGACCTTGCGCAGATCTTTCAAGGATTTGTGAGCTCCTCACACAATCCAGCCTGGTTTAACCCAGGATGGATGGTAGGCAGGCCAGCCTAAATGTTTCCAACCGGTGAAGATGCTCCATTAAGGGGGTCCACGTTTCGCAAGCGTAGAGAAGGGAGGGAATGACCATGGCCGAGAAGACCTGAAGCTTAGTGTGGAGCGACAGACCAGGTAGCTTCCACACAGCGTTACGCAACCGATGAAAAGATATTGCCGCTCGACTGATTCGGAGTGAGACCTCTGCTGTTAAACTGGAGCCAGTCATAAGCACACTGCCCAGGTATGGGAAACTCTCCACTCTCTCCACAACTGCCCCATCACCGATTGGGAGTTGTGGGGGTGGAGTGTCCGATGGTACAAAATACCCAGGCAGGCGCTTAGTTTTTGTGGGGCTGATGATAAGGCCCCATCTCTTAGTGGCACGCTCCAGTCTCAGCAGCAGCGTCTCCAACTCGTTCTCTGAATGAGCAGCTATTACCAAATCATCGGCATACATAACGTGGTTGAGCAATAGGGAGCCATCCCTTGACCGCACCCGGGCATCGATCAGCCTCCCATTATATCTGTACCAAATGGAGATTCCCCCGGTACAGCTATTGAAGGCTTCACGAACTACGTGGTCAAAATAGATGTTAAATAATGTGGGAGCCAGAGGACATCCCTGTCGCACCCCAAGGTGTACAGGGAATGGCTCTGACTCCCGGCCACGCAGTTTTACCCGGGCCCGCTCACCACCATGAAAGTCCTTAATGATCGTGAGCAGAGGGTCAGGGACTCCAAAAGCACGAAGAACAACCCAGAGCCCAGGCCTACTGATGGTATCATAGGCCTTGACCAAGTCAATAAAGCAGAGATGTAGGTCTTGTTGGAATTCCCTACACCTCTGCTGTAGCAGACAGACAGAAAACATGGCACCTGTGCAGGACCGCCCTTTCCTGAAACCGCATTGGGGCTCCGCAAGCCTCTCCTCAGCGTGCCTGGCAAGGCGATGTTGAATAATCCTTGCCAGGACCTTTCCCGGCACACTGAGGAGTGAGATGCCTCTGTAGTTACAGTCTGTGCGGTCCCCCTTTTTAAAGAGGGGGACCACCAGGGCATCCTTCCAATCCTGCGGATCCTGTCCAGTGGTCCAGACTGTTGTTATGATGTCATATAGGGCAGTCTGTGCACAAACGCCACCCTCCCTCAGCATTTCGCTTGGGAGATCATCTCTGCCCGCTGCCTTTCCTGGTCTCAGACTCCGGATCGCCTTCAGTACTTCCTCAACAGATGGTACTTCAGCCAGCCACTCACAGGGGGTGACTTCTTCCAATATTTGAGGCACCGCAGCCTCAGCAGGGTCATCCTCACTTTGTGCCACGATGTTTTCCTGGCTGAGGGATTTTCCCTCCCACAGGACTTCACAAAAATGCTCAGAAAATCTGCAAACCTGTTCCTGGGGGTCGGAGAGTGGATCACCGTTTTTCCCCTAATGATGGTAATAGGTGTGGCGCTGCAGGTTACTTTTTTGATGGAGTTAAATAGAGATTTGTGATCGCGGGCCACTGAGGCAGACTCCATCTCCTCAGCAACCCGCGACCACCACCCATCCTTGCAGCGCCCCACGGCTCTCCGAACCTCCGAGCGAAGGCTGCGGTAAGCCTCCTCATTCTCTGACGTGGGATTCTGTAGCCGATGTCAGTGGGCCTGTCGCTTTTTCTCAACCATCCTGAACACCTCCTCTGTCAGCCAGGGTCTCTGGGGAGGTCTGGACCGCGTACTCAAAGCATCCATTGCACACACACAAGACAACGACACGCACACACACAAGAAGACGACACACACACAAGACAACGACACACACACAAGACAACGACACACACAAGACGACACACACAAGACAACGACACACACAAGACAACGACACACACAAGACAACGACACACACACAAGACAACGACACACACACAAGACAACGACACACACACAAGACAACGACACACACAACACAAGACAACGACACACACACACACAAGACAACGACACACACACAAGACAACGACACACACACACAAGACAACGACACACACACACAAGACAACGACACACACACACACAAGACAACGACACACACACAAGACAACGACACACACACAAGACAACGACACACACAAGACAACGACACACACAAGACAACGACACACACAAGACAACGACACACACAAGACAACGACACACACACAAGACAACGACACACACACAAGACAACGACACACACACAAGACAACGACACACACACAAGACAACGACACACACACACAAGACAACGACACACACA